GAATACAAGTCTTTGAAGCTGCTTCTGGTCTGTGCAGGTTACTGGCAGGACGCCGCTTTTCGCCACTTATGAAACGTGCTGAACTTAAGATGTTCAGAGAAGTGTTTATGTCACAGCTTTCAGGAGATTTTATCTCTCTCCATCTCAGAGTCAGAAGCCTGGTCCATATGTAAAGGAGATGAACGATGCTGCCACCTTCTATACCAACAGAGTGCTTAAGGACTACAAGGAAACGTAAATATAGCTCATTTTTCATCTTCTCTAGATATTTGAAACATTACAGCTGATTTATTTATTCCATAAATGACAATTCATGCAAACCATGAAAGTCACTGTGGTAAACAAATCAGGTAGAGAGATGACAGGAGCCTAGAATGCAAAAGTAGATGAAAATTAGAAAGGTAGCATGGCGAATGCAGACTAACGGTGTTCAACAATAAAGCAGATTTTTTATTTATTTCACAAATTGTTAAAACATTTCTGTATCAATTTAACCTGCAAAACGCTGCATCGTGAGTTTCTTGCTCTGCTCACCTGCTCAGGTCCATCCTCATCCACATGCCTCAGCTTCCTTCATATATAATTTTTTATTTGACCGTTATATGTTTGTCTCTCCCAGAGACAGACGTCATGTGGACTGGGTGCGCTCCTACCTGTTGATCTGGACTGAGATGCAGGCGTTCATCAAACAGCACCACACGACAGGTCTGGTGTGGAGCAAGAGTGTGAGTACACAGGCGAGGTGCCACGTATGGATTCAAAAGGCTTTTTTTTGCCTTTGTTAGTACAATATTGTGCTGTTTTATGTTATACTCACCACCTTCTCATACCTGAGCCTGAATCACTCCTGTTACTAGTGCTTTATAATGTCAGCTGTGTTTTCATTTGGTTTCTGTTCGCACGGCTTGATCGTTTTATATCTGCTCAAAATAACTTCTACCATTTTTAGTTATGGAGCAGTCAGTTACATAAACCACTGCAGGGAGCATGAATGAATGAATGAGCTTCTCCTCAGTGGCCGCTCACCGCATTTCTCTGTGAAGCTTTCAAAGACCTCTGTCCCTCCCACACACACTCACACACACACACCGTTAATGTCTACTCAAGGACTAGCCTTTGCTAGATCTCAGAGATTACAGTGATCTGAAACAAAATCTTCTTCCCTTATCGGTTAGAAGAGTTTTTCCTCTTGATTTAATTACAGAAAGAAACAACAAAACTAAAGCTTCACTTTCCTTATTAACTGAATTGTTGATCCGAGGGGAAAGATGCCTGTTCACTCTTGCTCTGAGCCGCAAGTGAGGATCAATAATGCTGTCATATTTGTAACTATGAGGTTGCTGCCAGGAGATGGTCGGGAGATCTGAGCTTAGCATGAAGAATGTTAACAAAGTGAAACAGCTGGCCTGGATAGTGTCATTCATAGTTTAATTTTAAACTCAAATAAAATAAACCATTTTCATTACTGAGCTTTAAAGGTGCTGTGGAGATATGGTCATCATGGACACCCTTTTTACAGGGTGGAATGATTGTACAGCATATTTAATACCTTTAACAAAACAAGAAGCAGATGCACAAGTATACCTTCATTTCAGATTTTATCTAATTCATAAAGGCTCAAGTAAATACACACACGGCCACTAATATTTGGTTAAATGTCCCTTAGCAAGTTGCACCTCTACCGGACGCTTTTGGCACCCATCAATAATTTTCTGGTATAAATCTGGACGGATATTTGACCACACTTTATGGAAGAAAGATAATGTTAGAGTTCGTTTAGTTGGTTTCCTGGCGTAGACCCGGCTTTGAAGTGCAGTCCACACAGGCCGAGGTCGGGGTTTTGGTAAGGCCATTCAAGAATCTTTGTCTCGCCTGACCACCATCTCGCTTTTCCATGTGGGCAGCTGCAAATTTCAGTCGAGGTTAAAAGTGTCGATTTAGTAGCAATGGCTTCTGTCTTGGTCTGCACCCTCTCAGTCCATGACAATGAAAAACTGGTTTCACTGTGGACAGTGATGCTGGTCTTCCAGCAGATTCCAGTTTCCAGACTTGAGCCTTGGTGGTTTCTGGTGACTCCTAACCAGTTTCCTCTTATCTGAAGGTGACAGTTTGGGTCTTCCTCTTGACACCGCCAAAGTGATGGCCCATTTCAATAACTTGTATTTAAGTACAGTTGTTTGAACTGATAAATCCTGCAGTTGTTTAGAAATGACTCCAAGAAACTTGCTTAAATCCACAATTCTCCCTCTTAGTCTTCACTGAGTTCCTTGGACTTTCCCGTTGTTCTGAGTATTGGTCAGTCCAGTGAGTGCTTTTAAACTAATCCTTTTATACTGGCAAAGAGAAACTACAACGTAGTCGATCATGATCACTAATGAGAAGTTAGCAGGCCTTGTGAAGTTAAAAAAGTTAAAAGATTTAATGTGTGTTTTCTTATTTTTTAAAGTCATTAAAGATGTATGCAGTACACTCATTCGACACTGGAAAAAGAACAGTTCGAGAAATCATTCGTGCCCTTGATGAGTGGATGTAAACTTCTGACCACAACTGTACCTTTGGGCATTCAGGACAGCTGCTTCCTTCTGTTTGCACTCTAAGTTAAGAGATCTTCTGCTCTCAGCAGGGAATCAAATAAGCCCCAAATGGTTCACTTTTTCCTTTATTGCAACATGAAACGATGAAAACCTATGCTCAGCTTAAACTAATGCTCAACAACTGTGCTCACATGTGTACTGTCTGCATGCAGAAACTTGAGAGCCTGCGGCGGCTGTGTGTGTCAGCTGCTGGCCCTGCTGTCAGACAGCAGAGCTGCTGCATGTGCGAGAGACACAGAGTGTGTGTGCGCAAACAAGGACCGGAGTGTGTGATACCAACAGGTGGTCCTCACGATTTACTTGAATGGAGGTTTTCTTTACAGAAGTTGCCCCGACAAAGAGCCTGTGTACACACACAGCCTGTGCCGTAACCTAAACTGCAGGGCTGGTCCCTCTTCACCGATGCAACGCGTCATCTGCTGCTCAGACGGCGCTTTAGTGACAGGCCTATCCACAGGCTGACATATGGACTCATGCAAACGGTCACATTAAACTAGACACAGGGTAAAAAAACAAAAGAACTTAAAATGTTAAAGCAAGTCCGATTCTGAGTAGTGAACATCACACTTTTAACACTTCAAATATTTTTTCCAGTTGTCCCTCGGGGGCTTGTAGTTAACATGATTCTAGTTATCACTGTTTAAATGGTTGAACTGACAGTTGTTTTATTTATTTCAGCTGATTATTTCTCGTATAAAATCTTTGAAATCGATAAAAATAGTAATTTCTGCTTCATAAATCTCAGAGTGAAGCCTTCAAACCTTCAAGCAAGGAGTCCTTCATGTCAGAAACAGGAAACAATAGATGTCAACTATCTAATAGACATAGCTGGACTGGCCATCGGGCATACCGGGCATTGCCCGGTGGGCCGCTGGCGATTTTTTGTTTTTATGGGCCGATGGATTTTTTTTTTTTATTTTTTAGGAAGGGTATATATAATGAAAGGTGTGGGATTGGCCAATTGGTCATGATCGACTCTGGGCTGGACCAATTACAGCCGAGGAGGCTGGATGCACCCGCCACCTTGTTTAACAATCACGTGATTTTCGCGCATTGCATGCCGGGAACTCGTGGCAAAACAATCCAATCAAACGCAAACATTTGCAGCACCGCAAAACGTTCATTCTCCGGTTCCAATACCTTCTTTTTTTTTCTTTGCCGCACAAAAAAGGAATGTACAAAACAAAAGGAGAACAATGCCGGTCCGAACAAAGACAGACTCGACGAACAGACAAAGAAAAGATACGAGGAAAAAAATCAAAGGAGTGAAAGAGTGGACAAAAGACGTCAGCGTGCTGCCCAACTTTCACCACGCTCAGATTTATAATTATACGCTTCTTGGAGTGAGTGCATACACTCATGAAGTTTAGTAACTTCAGGTCACTGCAACAAGCCCAGGTACAGTTTACCGACGGATGGGTACAGGACCTTGAAATGCACCGTGTAGAACGAAAGACTATTGTACATATCATAAGTTTACCAGTCTCACAAATCGTCTTCATAAATACACATTCATTAACAGTTTATTAATATAACCTTTGAGCTCAACGGTAATTAATTAGTAGTGGAAATAATTTCTGGTAGTGTAACAGTGTTTATGTGGTATTATTCCACTTGCCACAAATATCAGTGTAATGGGGAAACAGCGCCCCCCCCCTCTCGGTGTGGCTGGCTGCAGTAATCGCTGCCAGTCTGCCGTAGCCATACGAGAGGTGAGTTGTATTGTTCCGCACACAATATAGCTAAGTAGTACAGACACATAAAACATGTTTGATTAGCTGACGAGCACCGAGTGTAATAAGTGCTTAGTGGACACATGTCCAACACCAGTTTTATGTACTTTTCATTTGTTTATTAATGTGTGAAACTGTATGCTAAAGCGGAATGCTAATGAGATGTTCTGCCGTAGTGTGCTGTGCGGAGTGGTGTGTGGCGAGCCTGTGCACTGATAATACACCGTTGTTTCCATTCAGGTACATCGTTTGTTGTTGCTGTTATTTTATTGCATATTAGAAATTGTAATATTGCTGCAGTAATCGCTGCCAGTCTGCCGTAGCCATACGAGAGTGTGCTGTGCGGAGTGGTGTATGTGCTGTGCGGAGTGGTGTATGGCGAGCCTGTGCACTGATACAGAGCACCGTTGTTTCCATTCAGGAAATAAAGTGGCAACGATCGATCAGAGACTCCTTGTCTTTTTAAAAACACTACACAACGCAGAGTCGAGGAGTCTGTTTGGGCCGAACTGTTGCAGCGGGATGAAGCAGAAACCGGTTATAGTAGCATTACAGAAATGTAGCAGTGACAATAATATTGTATGTTGTAATCGCAATGGACAATTAGTGATACAAAACAACTGTTTTATCCTGTGAATAAAAGTATATGTTTTTGTCAGTGTACCATGTGTAACCGAGGACAAGGGATGAGTAAACGGGGCAAAGAAATAATTGATCATTTATTTATTACATAAGTTAAACATACAAATTCCCAGTCGTTTCCAGACAGGACTTACAACACATCCTGCCGATATCCCAGCTGCGCATGAGACTTACCACACAAACTGTGCGAAATAACACTACAACCCGTCACACCCCGCTTAGTGACACTGCAATCGTGGCACACACTGCAAACAATTCGGGTCTCAGCGCAGCTGGGAATCAGTGCTATGTATGGCCTGTGATCTGAGAGATAAAGGGAAGTGGCACAAACAATTAAATAAAAAAAACAAAAGAGAGGTTAGTCCGCCCTTACAAAACTTACTCTCAATCAATAACCGCCTCTACGGCTGGACGGACTAACCAAAACAAAATTACAAATCAATCAAAAGAACAAAAAAAAGGACAGCAGAGACAGCACAGCTGAAAAACAAACAACATTATCAATTAAAATATTACCCAATAAAATAGCAATTTTATAAAACCATTCAAAATCATGAAACTAAAACAAACACTCAATATACCTACAATATTGATCAGTTTCCCTGCACGCAGTCGATCTAGGGCTTGATCAATTCTTCTATTAAAATTCGTGGTCACACTAAAAAAGTCCAATGACACATTAAAAAATAGGCACATGCAATAGCAAAAGATCCAAACAAAAAATGGCAAAAGTCTCTTACCGACAGTATACCCACTCGCACCTGAGTGAATTAATTGCCTCTGGTTTTTTCCACAGAAGAGCGCTGACTTCACCCCACACACCCACTACCTTTTCACAGCTCTTCAGCCAATCACCTGGCAGCGAGCAACAAACTGCCAGGTGACACTTGTTACAACCCTCCCCTTCAAAGGGCATCGGCGACCCGACGATGAGCTGAAAAGAGAGCACACTTAAAATTTTGCTCATTTTATAATGGATTGTGGCAATTTAAATGGGTTTGAGTGCTGTCCAGCAGTCTTCCTCATTGACCTACGAGACCCTTGCGTCAAGCTGGCAACATCTTCCTCCCCAGGTTCTAGGTCCCCAGAACAATCCAAATGGGGCACCCCCACATGTGTGGGACTCAACGTCCCTTCCTCCAACACTGCAGAATCGCCTCCATCTCCCTGTTCTGTAAACATCTGTTCTACTTCATCAACCATACTGTTATTTGTGGCCAACATTCCGGTTAGATCATCCTGTTTTGACATTTGTAGGCCACTATCTTGGTCTCCATCCAATTCCCTGATTGGAATGTTTCTCAACTCAGTTCGATGTACTTGTCGAAGTGGACCAGTGTGCCCAGCAGGAGCGACTGAATATACTACGCCATGACCAGGAGGAGGTCGCACTACTTGAAAGGGCGTGGGATCCCAAAAATCTTGAATCTTATTGCGACCTCTTACAGAGTGGTTTCTCATATACACCAAATCGCCCTGCTCCAAATCAGGACTAGCACATTTAGAGGAATTCAAATCTCTCTGAACCCTTCTCCTTTCTAACCGTTGCTGCACAACATCATATGCAGCAGCCAAGGACTTTTGGTGTTCCTGTACCCACTCTTCAAGAGTGACGTCCTCATCAACTTCACTGCCAGCACCCAACCAAAAATCCACTGGCAACCGTGGCTCTCGCCCGAACATCAAATAATATGGAGTCATACCAGTTGACTGATGTACTGTGGTGTTATACGCATATGTGACTTGGGAGAGATGCCGCGGCCACCGGCGCTTTTGTTCAGGAGGCAGGGCACGCAGCAAGTCATGAAGTGTACGATTAAATCGTTCACATTGACCATTACCTTGTGGATGATAGGGTGTCGTCCGACTCTTCTCTATCTTATAAATTTTACACAGCTGTTGCACCAAAGCGCTTTCAAAATTTCGCCCCTGATCAGAATGTATACGGCTTGGAGGCCCAAATAAATGAAACCAATGCTTCACTAAAGCCTCTGCCACTGTACTGGCTCGCTGATCTTTTGTAGGGACAGTCTGAGTATATTTAGAAAAGATGTCAGTCATTACCAAAATATTCTCTTTACCATCAGTTGAGGGTTCAAGTACTGTAAAATCAATTGCCAAAATGTCATGAGGCCGAGATGCAGAAATACTACCCATAAAGGTTTTAATCTTTGGCACAACAGCCTTAGAAAGAACACACCTTTCACAATCTCTGCACCATCTCTCAATATCTGCATACATGTGCGGCCAATAATATCGCGAGCGCACCAACTGCAGTGTACGCTCAACCCCTTGATGGCCATGCTCATCGTGGAGTAAACGAAGGACGCGGCCCTGTAAACACTGTGGCAGCACCAGCTGGTCAACCTCCCTCACTCCATCAGGAGTATGAGTGCAGCGATACAACACAGACTCCCTTTGTTTCATCCGCCCCCATTGACGGACCAATTCCCTCGAACCCTTACCAAGACCATCTCTTTCCTTTGAATCTGGCAACCTGGCCACCTCCCAATACTTTAAGAAGGGACCAATCACAGGGTCTTGTTTCTGTAACGTACAGAGATCAGAGAAAGAACAACCAGGTAAAACGCTTATCTCTGCCTGAACACTGGGAATCATCTCACACTGCACTCCAATATCATTAGATAATGGACCATCCAATTCCATTACAGTTCCATGTAGGCGGGACAATGCGTCTGCATTAGCATTCTGAGCCCCAGGCCGATATTTTATGGTCAAATCAAAAGCGGCCAGCTCTGATGCCCACCTCTGTTCTGTGGCACCTAGCTTTGCCGTGGACAGATGGCTTAGTGGGTTATTATCTGTAAATACAGTGCAACGATGACCCAAAAGATACTCCCTAAACTTTTCAGTGACGGCCCACTTGAGAGCTACAAGCTCAAGCTTCATGGAACTATAATTTCTCATATTCCTCTCTGTAGGCTTTAAGCTCCGACTGGCAAAAGCTATTGGCCGCAATTTACCCTCATACTCCTGGGAAAGCACTGCCCCTAGACCCCCATAGCTTGCATCTACTTCCAATGTAAATGGCTTCTGAAAATCAGCAAAAGCAAGCACTGGTGCAGAAACCAGAGCAGCCTTGAGCTGATGAAAACTTTGTTCACACTCCAAATCCCAAAAATCCAATAACGGTTTTGGGGGGTCCTACCTTTTCTACCTGGAGGGAGGAGTGCAGAGACCAATCTATGCAAGGGAGCAGCCATGCGTGAAAAACCAGCTATGAATCTCCTATAATAACTAGCAAATCCTAAAAAGGAACGCAGTTCTGCTAGATTGCTGGGCGTTTTCCAATCCCGCACTGCAGCTATTTTATCTGGATCAGTAGAAACTCCTTCGGCAGACACCACATGCCCCAAATATTTCACTTGCCTCTGGAAAAACTGGCACTTGGAGAGTTTCACTTTAAGCCCCTCTTTATCCAGACGAGAGAAGATTTCTTCCAACCGCTCCAAATGCTGTTGCACGGAGGATGAAAAAACAATCACATCATCCAAATACAAAAGCACCGACTGATGTCTGCAATCTCCAAACAAACGCTCCATCAGGCGCTGAAATGTACTGGGTGCATTACACAAACCAAACGGCATGCGGTTGAACTCAAACAAACCAAATGGGGTACAAAATGCAGTTTTAATCTTATCCTTCTCAGCCATTTCCACCTGATTATAACCACTAGCCAGGTCCAAAGTGGAAAACCACTGAGCACCAGTCAAAGCATCCAAGGATTCTTCAATCCTTGGCAGAGGAAATGCATCCTTTCTGGTCTTGGCGTTTAACTGTCTATAATCGACACACATGCGTAGACTTCCATCCTTCTTTTGAACAAGAACTATTGGGGATGAGTACGGACTACTACTTTCTCTGATGATGCGAGCTTGCAGCAGCTGTTTGATATGATCCCTTGCCAGTTCATACTGAGACGGAGGGATTCGCCTGTATGGTTGTCGCACTGGTGTTTCATCTATCAAAGGAATTTCATGAGTGATCAATTTACTACAACCAACATCCAACTCATTCTTGGCAAACACGCCGCTATACTTCTGCAATAAAACTTTTGCTTGCCGTTTCTCGCTCTTGTTAAGATTCAGTATTGAGGAAGGGTACAAGAGGTGATCGAAGAATAACCACACCGATCCGGCCGGGTGAAGTCAAACGATGATTTTAATGAATACACGCGTGGGAAGACAACTCTGTACGCAGACAGGAAGTAGTCTTCGACTTAATCAAAGCATGAACAGATATTTTATAGCATCAGGGTTTGTTTACTGACGCCCCTTCATACGTCACAGACACATTTTATACATAGATCAAATCAACATCCTCATGACTTTTCCCCTAGAAAATCATCTTCTATTTTCATGGCTTGGTACTTTCCGTTCTTATCTTAAAATGAATTGTTCCTCTTTCTTGCCGAGACAACAAGGACGGTTCCTCTAAATAAATTTAACTCTATGTGTGTGTGTCACGACCTCACATGCTCTTTCTCAATTCACCTGTTGCACTTCTGACCTTTTACCAGACCAGAGGCTCACTGAGACTATGTGTATGTCTTCTACTAAATAAATGTTTTAATCAAGAACCTCTACTAAAACCTTAATATAAAATGATAAAGCTATCTGTTACATTGTTAAAGCCTCGTCTTAGCCTGCGGCTCAAAATAACTTCCTGCTTCTTTCTACATACAACTTCCTGTCAGGCTGCAACTCAGTCTTTCTGAAAGAGACACTGTTTAAACCTTGGAATGCAATATCCATGCTGCAAATTATATTATTAATGCAATGACAATTATTTAACAATAGCAGTAAAATAATTTCCCTCCTCGACACTCTCCTCAAGACTTTCAAATTCAGGCAAATCCAATTCCGCTGCATTGTCTGCCATTGTATGACTGGAAATATAAGCTGTACAACACTGTGAATTTACAGAGACCTGTATTTCAGAGTTACCCTCTGCTAGCACACTGGCCAGTTGAACTGTAGCAATCACCCGACGAGGTGTCAAATAGACATCAGTTTTACCAACATTAGTAACTGGAACAAAAGCCTCCCCTCCTTCTCCCTTTACCAATGAAGGAGACACCAATAGGCCTTCCGGGAGAAAACCATCATCAGGCCCGAGGGGTTCAATCAAGAGGTCAATAGGTGTATTCACAGGCATCTTTGGACAGGTAACAGGAACATAACTTTGCGTTCCAGCTGGAACACAGAAAGACTTCTTACCCTGTACTCTAACACGATGGGGTTCAGGAGAATTTGCCATGGCCTCCATCATTTGGCAGTATCTCAACGCTCTTCTCCAACCACGTGGCGCAGTCTTCAAAACTGGAGCTTCCCAGAGGTCAGAACCATATTGTTTACACAATTCAGAGTAAAGGGGGTTCAATACATTCATTCCTAACACACCAGGTACAGATATCTTTTTCTGTGCCATGTGGCTATCTGTTGGATCTCCCACAATCAACACCCCTCGACGAGGTAGGTGAATTCCCAGGATTGTAACATCCAACTCAATATACCCAGAATAAGGAATTTGTAGGCCATTAGCTGCTTTAAGTCCCAACCAACCACAGTCTTTAAGCTTTTTATCACTGAGATGAGAAAAGTTATTTTTAAAAGAGCTTTCTGTGATTGTTGTGACCATGGACCCTGTGTCCAGCAAACATGAAATAATAACCCCACCCAAATCAACCTCCCCTTCCAAGCATTCACCAACTAGATGACCGAGTTCTACATTACTGGAGCCTTGCAACCCTCCCACCAGTGTGTGGCTCTGTGCACTGGTGGGTACTAGTTTTCCGCCGCCCCAGTAGTTTGGCCATCAGCCCTAGCTGCTCTTTCATGCTGATTTCCATCAGAATTGGGTAATGTCGGGCAAAATCGGGCAATATGTCCAATTTGCTCACACCTAAAACAAATGGGTTTACCATTCACCGTCCTTCTACGTCGAGAAGTGTGATTGCTAGAAGCAGCCACCTCCTGTGGGTTTAATGCCTTAATGACCAACTCTAATTGTGTCTGTTGGGCTTTAAAAAGGGACACCAACTCAGCATATTCTGATGTTCTAGAATCGACACTTTCACAAGAAGCTTGCATATCTGCAGAGACTGAAACAGACTGATTATATCTAGACCTAAAAGGCTGATTCTCATACTGTGCCATCCACCTGGTCGCTTCGGCTCTCGCCTCACGAATCGTCCACTGTGGGTTGGCATTAATCAAATCTCTCAGCCTGATCCTCAATGTCAGATCTCTAACACCATCACAAAATTGATCACGCAGATCTTTTGAAGCTTTTCTTGCGGCTTCCTCATCCGTTTTAATAATCTGGTCCATTAACGCCATCAGAGAATGAGAAAAGTCAATTAAGGACTCTCCTTCTAATTGTTTACGATTGAACAATCTGCGTTGCAAAGAAATGTGGGAATCTAAGCAGCTGTACATTTCTTTCAGTGTAGCAAAAATTTCTCAACATTTTCTTTCTGTTCCTTTGGCAAAAACTTTATCTCAGTGCGTGCAGTACCCTCTAAATGGTTAAAAATAATTTGAGCTTGCTCTTTTTCTGTTCTGCCTCTCGTGCGCACAAAGTCTCTCATTTGCTCAATCCACTCATCTAGAGTCAGTGAGCCCATATTGTCCAACTTCCCTGAAAATGTTGGCAACTTTCTATCCTGTTGTACGTATACCACAGGATTGGGTCTCACAGTCTCTGATTCACTTCCTGTAGCTCCTGTTGATGTAGAGGGCCTCTCTGTACCCACAGATGCTGTTTTCAAGTCTCTAAGTTCATTCTCCAACTCCTGTATACGTTGGGCCATTGTTTGTTGCTCGCTTCCCTCCATGATGGCGATTGAGACCTGGCTGCTCCTTCTCTCCAATCTTACAAACCTGTCCCTGCTGTCCTTACAAAATAACAAAACAAAATGGCCACTCCCTTGAAACCTGTCGACAACGCCAAAATGTAACCGAGGACAAGGGATGAGTAAACGGGGCAAAGAAATAATTGATCATTTATTTATTACATAAGTTAAACATACAAATTCCCAGTCGTTTCCAGACAGGACTTACAACACATCCTGCCGATATCCCAGCTGCGCATGAGACTTACCACACAAACTGTGCGAAATAACACTACAACCCGTCACACCCCGCTTAGTGACACTGCAATCGTGGCACACACTGCAAACAATTCGGGTCTCAGCGCAGCTGGGAATCAGTGCTATGTATGGCCTGTGATCTGAGAGATAAAGGGAAGTGGCACAAACAATTAAAATAAAAAAACAAAAGAGAGGTTAGTCCGCCCTTACAAAACTTACTCTCAATCAATAACCGCCTCTACGGCTGGACGGACTAACCAAAACAAAATTACAAATCAATCAAAAGAACAAAAAAAAGGACAGCAGAGACAGCACAGCTGAAAAACAAACAACATTATCAATTAAAATATTACCCAATAAAATAGCAATTTTATAAAACCATTCAAAATCATGAAACTAAAACAAACACTCAATATACCTACAATATTGATCAGTTTCCCTGCGCGCAGTCGATCTAGGGCTTGATCAATTCTTCTATTAAAATTCGTGGTCACACTAAAAAAGTCCAATGACACATTAAAAAAAATAGGCACATGCAATAGCAAAAGATCCAAACAAAAAAATGGCAAAAGTCTCTTACCGACAGTATACCCACTCGCACCTGAGTGAATTAATTGCCTCTGGTTTTTTCCACAGAAGAGCGCTGACTTCACCCCACACACCCACTACCTTTTCACAGCTCTTCAGCCAATCACCTGGCAGCGAGCAACAAACTGCCAGGTGACACTTGTTACACATGGTTATAACAGAAGCGAAACGCAATATTGTGTCAGAACAATTCACTATTTATGCACAATAAACAAAGGAGCATAGCGCAACAATTTCTGTTCAGCGCCAGACTTGCTTGTAACCTATATCACCAATTATGTTAAGAAAAATGACGTATTAACTACTAAAAAACTCTGACCTTTGTGGGAATGCTTGGAGCAGACTAACCTGTGAGCTGGAGTGTTCTGAGATGTTATATTTGGTATATCCAGACCATCCGTCAGCTCTTACTTCGGAAACATGGCTTAAAAAATTTCACTTCAACGACATAATCCGATAAAAAAAAAAAAAAACGATCTCTTTACCCGTCGGCTTCCCGTGGCTGTCATGCGACCGGTTATTGCAGTTAATAATACAACAGCTTCTTGCCATTTTTTGGGTTTCTTTTTATCGCTGTATAACTGAGTTCAATTGAAAGCCTGCGTGCGCTAGTACCTCTTGCCACAAGTTCCCAGAATCCTTTGCGGTTTTATCCCTGAATGACGTCACATTTTCAATCTTTATCCTGGTGGGCCGGTCTCTAGTCAAAATGCCCGGGCCGATTTTTTGTCCCAGTCCAGCCTTGCTAATAGATTGTTGATTGCTTAAGCTGTAGTTTAAAACAGCAGAAATTAAGAAGATTTTAAGTGAAGCTAATTATATTAACACAAGGAGCCACCTTTTTTTTCCCACCTAAATCCTTTTTGTACACAAAAGGATTTAGGTGTACACAAAGAAGTGTTCAGTAGATAGTTTTACAGCCATGCATGAATGTGTGCGTGCACACATCTGCTGGTTCTAATCCAGAGGCATGCAGTGAGCTGTTTAGTGTAACAGGTCTACATTGTTCAGCAGTGATATTCACAACACATGTTACTCGTGTCAAAGGTCAAGTCTGAGCACTCAGAGGCACGTTTGGTTACAATTTAACCCTGTGTCAGCTGTGCTAGATCTTCAAAAAGCAGATGTGTGTGTGTGTGTGTGTGTGTGTGTGTGTGTGTGTGTGTGTGTGTGTGTGTGTGTGTACCCTTCTCTTCTTTACACATCAGAGCTACTTAAAGGACCTTTTTCTTCATAATTTAAATTCTGATGTAATAAAAAATCTGTAATGAACAAAATTTTGGGGGAAAAAACATCTTGATTTTTCTTTTCTGGCACAACAGTGCATCCATCTTCTTACGCTTATCCAATTCAGGGTCGCGAGGGGCGAGCTGTGGTCTATCCCAGCTGTCATAGGCCGAGAGCCGTGTATGTCCTGGACAGGTGGCCGGTCTATCCCGGGGTTACGTTTGAGAAACAGTGCAGTCGTAAAATTTTGGCCATTTCGATGTGAAGCTGTCTGTTTTTCACCCATCAAGTAGGAAAACTCCTGTTTGATCCTGGGAGGAGAGAGGTCACTCTCAGCTGACATTCATCTTAATCATTTTTCATATTTCATCAGTTTGTTTTATCTTTTTTTTCTTAGTCGTTATTGTTTTGTTTCTTGTTGCATTGCCTTCATTTTCTTTATTGTTTAAACTTGTTTGTTTAGTTGTTTTGTTCTTGTCAGTTTAATTTTAAAGGGAAAGCTCACAAACCAAAGATGCTGTGTTTCACTGTATTAGAAAAGCTTACTTTAGTTTAAAATAGTATCCAAATTCATTCAAATAAAAAAAATTAGGTAAAGATTTTGTTCAGATTAACTTGTTCAGTATTCGTGCACAACACTTAGCTTAAGTAGTACAACCAACACACAGGATGAGTCATGTGAACTGAAGGCAACTTGAGTGAGATCTGCTTAAATTGAAGTTACTAAATTTAAGTGTTTTAACTTTCTTAAAACTCACACAGTTCACATAAAAATGTGATTGTGTTGCTTTGTGTTTTTTACATTACTCACATCAAGTGTCAGAGGACCAGGGTCTGCGAGCACTGCAGAGTTGTACAATTTAAGTACACTTTAAATGAAATAAACAGGCAGACCTCAGATTCAGAGCCTGAGTCAAATTAAAATATTTTAGTAAACATACTTGAATTATTTTTAAAATATTTTATTTCCTTCCAACATCTCTCAGGGCCCCATTGCTCCTGCTTCTCTCTTTGATTCGCCCCCAGCCCCGAGTGCACCCTGTCCACCTCCACCACCTCCTCCACCCCCTGGCCCTCCTCCGGTGTTCACCGATGACGACGCCAAGCCTCAGGCGGACGCCGCCGTAGCCCAGCACTCCGCGCTATTTGCCCAACTCAACCAGGGCATGGACATCACTAAAGGTGCATCCATGAGCAACACAGAAGAGCTGAGCGACAGTTTCCACCTTAATTTAATTTAAGCTTATATTTTTAAACTCATAATGTTATCCTCACACTTTCCATCTGTAGGTCTGAAGCATGTGTCAGATGACCAGAAGACCCACAAGAACCCCAATCTGCGTTCTCAACAACCAACAACAGCCAAAGGCAAGAACGCGGGGCCTGTGGCTTCACCCACTACACCTGCCCAGAAAAGACCCCCTCTGCTGGAGCTGGAGGGGAAGAAATGGAGGGTGGTACGTGTGATGTGTAAATCCTATTTTGAGGATGATTTGTATTTAATTAAACCCACAACGGGAGCTGAAATGAAGGGCACTTTGGAAAATTTCAATGACAATTTAATTTGCACCTACCCAGCTCTCATTTATATCGTAGAAACAAACCCAATCCAGGTGTCCTGGTAGACCGGCTGCTAATCTAGATTTTTGAATCCTTATTGTTGCAGGAAAACTTTGAGCAGAAGCACGACCTGGTGATCGAGGAGACGGAGCTTAAACAGGTGGCGTACGTCTTCAGTTGTAATAACTCCACCCTGCAGATTAAGGGCAAAATAAACTCCATCATCATTGGTAAGCTTCCTGAAAGCAAAATCATGAGTTTGAGCACAGATTTCATAACGTGGGATTATAATCTTCATCTGGTTTGTTTTCATCCCGTCTAGACAACTGTAAGAAGCTGGGTGTGGTTTTTGAGAATGTTGTTGGGATTGTGGAGATCATTAACTGCAAATCGATTCAGTTACAGGTGAACAAATTTTTATTTTGACACAGAATTAAGTGATGTGCCGAGTGTCTCGTAGGTCCGCTTTCGTTTTCTTAAAACTGTTCAGAGTTTTTCACCCAAAGTGTAAAATAACATCTCACAGTGCCCAAAAAAAGACTGTCAGTAAGTGAGGCATGTCTTTCTGCAGGTTTTGGGAACAGTTCCCACCATTTCCATCAACAAGACCGAGGGCTGCCAGGTCTACTTGAGTAAGGACTCTGTCAGCTGTGACATTGTCAGTGCCAAGAGCTCTGAGATGAACATCATGATACCTGAAGGAGAGGGCGATTACGTGAGTAACCGAGATAAAGGCTGAGCTAATTCTCTCCATGTGTGCAGCTGTTCTTACACTTACTTTGTTTTTGTTTTCCTTTTTTTTAAACAGAGGGAGTTCCCAGTGCCGGAGCAGTTCAAGACTGTGTGGAATGGAGCCAAACTGGTGACAGAACCCACGGAGATCGCAGGCTGACTTTGTCGTCCATAGAACACAAATATATTTCCGTCCTCCTGATGTTATCCCTCAGACATACAGTGCTGTGAAAAGTACTTTCCCCCTTCATAACTTTTTTTGTATAGTTGTCACATGTTTTTAGATAATGAAACTTTAATCAAGTTTTAAAATTAGATATATTGTTCTCTGCTGACCAAACAGAACACAAAGGCTCATCTCATGCCAAAAAACATCCTGGTGGCCCCTGAGACTTTTGAGCAAATATTCTGTGGACTGACAGGACAAAAGCTGAACTTTCTAGAAAGATTGAGCCACTTAAACTAACACAGCATTTCATAAAAAGAAGATCATACCAAAAGTAAAACGTGGTGGCAGTGGTTGCTTTGCAGCTTCGGGACCTGAATGACTTCTGGGCGACTCTGCTCTCTACCAGAAAATGCTGACGGAGAATCTTCGGCCATCAATGGTGCTCAGGAAACTCAAGGACATTTGGCTTAGTCAGTAGGACAATGATCCAAAATACACCAGGAAGTCCACCTCTGAATGGCTCAAAAACCAAAAACAAATAGAAGGTTTTGGAGTAGTCCAGTCAAAGTCTGAACTTAAATCAGACTGAGATGCTGTGGCATGACCTTTAACACATTGGAGAGTCTTCAATGTGGCTGAATTAAAAGAATTCTGCAAAGATGAGTTGACCAAAATCCCTCCACAATGATATGAAACAATCATTGCCAGTTATCGCAGTTCTTGCTATCAAGCGTGGCACAACCAGTTATTAGGTTTAAGGGTACATACAGGTAGTTTTAGGCATTTTTTTTTCCTTTGATAAAAACAAAAAAAATCATGGTCATCATCATTTAAAAACTGCATTTTTATTTACTCAGTTAAAGTTCATTTGCTGATCTTAAACACATAAATGTGAGAAATATGAAAAAGAAATCAAGAAGGGGGCAAATACGTTTTCATAGCGCTGTAGGAAAGGTTTTCTAATAGGCACGTAGATTAACTTTTAGTCCACTTGCTGTATTTGTGACTTCATAAGAGGTTTCTCCAGCACTTCTGCAGCTGTTGTCTGTAATGAATCTGTCAGTATAACACAATCTCCCACTAGTGGTGAAGAATAGCTCAGGTTTAGGTGTCACAAACCAGAGCACACTTACATTTCTGTGCCAAAACAACACAGGCATTTATGTGAGAAAGTGTAACTGCTGAAAAATAATATTTTAAAGGTATTCTCATCATTAGATCCGTTTCCTTAAAATATAGATTTTAAATGTTCCGGGATGACCACTATTAAGACAGTACTCCACTTACACCTACTGCAGAAAACTTAAAAAACCAACATTACCTTCAAATAGAGAAACGCAAATAAGTGTCTGTGGTACATTTTCTATCTAATAAAGTGCTTCCAGCCACCTCTGTAAAGAGCATCGTGCCCAGCAGTCATGTAGTAAAGTCACTGTGAAGTACATGCAGTATTGTCCTTATTCTGCATTAACAGCTGCTGTTGTGATTGAAATGATTAATTAGCTAATTTCTTTTACTGTACAACGTATCAGCTATAGTGGTAACGGTTACCTCCGAGCACTTCCTATGTTTATTGTACTTTGTATACCACTCTTATTTTGTAGCACACAGCACCAGCATAGCACAGATGAAATGCTGATACTAAAAATATAATATACGAGAAAACAATTTTATGTAATTCTGTGTCTTTTTTTTTTCCAAATAAAGTCAAAACCTCCCAGTTCTGGTTTGTTAGTTTTATTTTGTGCGAGGAGAAAAAAAAAGCACAACAAAAAGAACCATGAAAGGGAGAAACAAAGAATAAAATCTCAGGAGATCAGCCATGACATGGAAAGAAGACAATCACAGAGTAGAAAAATAAACCAAAACAAATGTTCTTCCGCCTCATCCCAGTACGGTAAGAACTGATGATATTTGGTCATAATGGCTTGTAATATCACAGAAGCAGCTCTCCCTGTTTTGAGCAGGAGGGCAAGAAGTCCAAACCAAGAACAAGCAAGAACCTGGCTAACTTTTAAAACAAAGGGACTCGTGTAGAAGAAAGCCTTCAATCTGAGACAGGCCTGACACAACAAGACCTGCAGCATACAAGCTGGCCGTGTACTGCTAGGTTCATAGACTACATAAAACCATGATGTTACTCACTGGCTGGTGAAGTCCCGGCTTTAATTCTCACACTGAACATCTTGACTTCACCATTTTAGTGTTTTGAAACAAGAAGTGACAGCGAAGGGGTGCAAATCCACAGACACTACACACTTGTATGTCAGCAGTCGGATAAATCACAATTTACAAACATTAGGTTATGAAATGAGATCTTGAAACTCTCCAGAGAAGAATTAACTGGGCTAATAACTCAAAGGCGCTGAAAGCTAACTTTCCTGTAGACTTGTAATAATCAGACTTCTTTTTTCAGTCCATGAGCTGCCCCCTACTGGCCATTAAAAAGAATGCAGGTTTACAGCACTTCCCCAACCTGGAAGTCCTTAAAAAAGGATTTTTCAATATTTTATCCTCCAAAATCCACATTTTTGGAAAAGATTTGGAACAGCATCTGAAATCTGTAGTGCCTTTAAAAGGCTGTTTTTCAGTGTTTAATCACTACATTTCCCTGAGAGTCTTGAGTAAACAGCATCTCTTCATCCTCTTCCTCCTCCTCCGGCAGAGATTTGTAAGCACTCACCACTCCCATGCTGACGTTACTCTGATCTTTGAGAGGACTCCTGGTGTGCAGACCTCTGTGTGCGATCACCCTGAACCCTTCAGAGTCCTGAGTGAACAAAGTGGCCAAACTGTCCTCATCGAGTTCTCTGCTTCGCTGCTGCGGCATTCGCCTTTTGAGAGGAGAGCTTATCGGTTTTGTCCTCTTGATCTGGAAGGCAGAGCTCTCTTCTTTTGCAGCCTTTTCCCACAGCTGACCTGTTTGTTTCCGAGGAGAAGCGGTTTTTGGTTGTGTCCACTTATGATTTGAAACAGGTCTGAAATGAGAGGAAGATGAGTCTTTGCTTGGGGAATTATAAGACGGTGGCGTGCTGTTTTCCTTCTCATTAATCATATGAGAAGAATGAAGGCGTTTTAAAGATTTTTGAGTTGAGGTTTGTCCTTCTGCAGCTATCAGTTTTCTAAAGAACTCGTCCTCCTCATACTGCAGACTGTTTAGGAAACTTGGCTCAGAGCTGCAGAAGTTCTTGACTGTCGTACATTTGTGGTTAGTCTGATGAAACTCATTTTCAGTGTACTGACTGAAAGTGAACAGCGGGTCCTGACTCCACGTCTGTGGTAGAGGTTGACAGTCATCTTGTGTAAAGGTGGCATCAGAGACCCTCCTCTTACTCTGTGGTGGTTCACACTCTTCAGGCTTCTCTTCTTCAGATTCACAGTATATGTTTTGTAAAGTTGAATGGTTTTCTGAACGTGTCTGCCATAATTCTGTTTCCTTCTCAGTCACATTTTCACTTGTACACTCGTCAACCAAAACAGGCTCAAAGTTGGAGTTTTCAAAACCAACATTGCGCCCTCGTTTTTTCCCTGATGCTGTGGCTGTCGGTGTAGCTGAGTCAGATGATGAAAGAGGCTGCACTGAATCCATGTTTGGTGGCTCAGAAGTGGACATCTTATTGAGGACTTTTAGAAGAAAGTAAGAAAAAAATTATGTTAACACAAAATCAAATAATTTACTGTATTAACTTGTATGCTTATTGGTCACTTCATTAGGTTCAATTTGTTGTAAACACAAATATTTAATCAACCAGTGATGTGACAGCAATGCAGACATGATTAAAACGACCTGCTGAAGTTAAGACTGAGCATCAGAAGTGAGATGAAAGGCGGTTTAAGTGAGTGTGGACATGGCATTGTTATTGGTGTCAGACAGGCTGATCTAGACCATCAGACTATAAGATTAGACTATAACTTTCGGCAGACTTTTAGATGCTTACCTCTCCGATGAGCTGTGAAAAAGGCAGATATGGAGCTCTGTTTGGTTTTTGGCATTTCTGTTTTGGTCTGAGTGAAGTTGAGTGCCACAGCCAAACTGTACCCAGCACCTTCACAAAACGGGTTCAGCAGTTTAGAAATGGGACGGCTACGGCGCTTCTGAAAGATATAAAAGAGAACACAGTGTGTAAACAGTAATAGACAGAGACTGCAGATCAGCATTTTAGTGTATTAAATAACTGCTCTACTCAGGCATGCTGGAGAAGCCATTCGGTCAGTGTTCAGACCATGTTTACACAATTACCTGTTTAGCTTTTCCTTTCAGCTCCACAGTGTCCAGCCAAACATCACAATCCTCTTGATCAAAGGTCTGTGGTGCTGCTGCAGTGCTCTTCATGGTGGACAGCCCAGGGAAGATATGATCTGTATGAAATAAAAACAGGATTTTATAAACAGGTTAGACATGCCGTTTGTTTTAAATAAAGAATCATTATACTTTAAAAACTATTTTCATGTCTCTCGTTGATGAACATGTTTGCAAGAAGCCTTTACTTATCTTTAACTAATTCAATAACGCTACCACAGACCTGTGAGTTAGCTACAGTTGGTTAACATAGCTCTTAAAACTGATTTTTGGGAAATACCTTATGATACAATGAAGATCCAGAGTAATATTTTGAGGTTTCCTTTGCAATTTTTTATAATCGTTTGTATAACTCTCTAGTACTCGGTTCAATCTGCCGCCTTCAGGACTGTCTGCCCCTGATGATTGACTGTGTGAAAATGCCTTAATGTGGTTGTACCTAAAATGCGCGATTTAATTTGAAAGATAATTTAAAGGTAGGATATATAAAGACGTTCATAATACTCTTTCATCATAAAAATGTATTTATGTCTAATTAATAAAATTTACCGTAACAATATTCTTCATTTCTAGTTGGGCGCGTTGGACACCTAATATTTTGACGTCTGCCGGTCCGTGCGTAGATGTGGGTGTGTTTACGTTGACGTCATCGCGGTTTTTCCGACAGGGTGAGTGAATTGTTTTTAATTTGGTTTATTGAACTCTGTTATTGAAATAGAGTGAGCATAGCACCGATTTAATGGCTGCTCTCATAATAATGATCAGTTATATAAATCTTGGTGTTTAAAATCAGCTGCCTGCGCGTCACAGTGATTAGAAATCATAGGAAGTGCTGACAAGCTAGCTTCCGCAGCTAACTAGTTAGTTCGGCTAAACAAGAAATTTCATCAGTAGATATATTTAGTGATTCGTAAGTTTTATTCTGCTGAGTGACTCTGTGTAACGTAAAAATGTTTATAAACTCTCTGTGCCGGGTTGTGAAGCTAAGTTAAGCAAGTCTGTAATTATAATCCGACGGGTTGTTTTTTTTCATGTTTTTTTTTTCTGAACAGCGAAACACTGTTTGTGTGGAGCAACATTTCCATAGTGTTTGTCAATAGGTCACACTTGAAAGTGGACATTAAAGAAACTACATTTAAGAGTTTAAGAGTGCTCGGCAGAAAGCAGACCGAGTACAAAGAGACAGAGAACAAATATAATTTAAAAACATTTACATTTGACCCCTACAGTGTGACCTTATATGCCCCCTTAAACTGAGGGTCACTGGAAGTTAGTACAAAATTAGTGTGAATGACTTAATAGTCGAAACATCAAATGTTCTGACTATGAACGGGTTTTAATTTAATTAAGCAAGCATTGGCTCAACAGCTTTGTAAAATGCTTTTTATTTGGATTTCTTTAAGTTAGTCATCATCGTGCGACTGTTGTTCCAGTGCCAGTCTTCATTATTAAAACTTGACTTTGGTGGTTACCACTGTTGCCTCACAGTCCTTGGTTCAAATCAACTGGCTGAGGTCTTTCTGTGTACTTGTGTCAGTTCTCTCTGAATGCGCTAGCTTCCTGTCAGAGTTAACTGGCACGTATAATTAGCTGTAGGTCTGAATGGTTGTCTGTCTCTTTGTCCTGCAAAAGTCTGGTGACCTGTCCAAGGTGTAGCACATCTCACGCCCTAGGTAGGAGAGGCTCCAGAAAAAGGGGTGCATGGATGGGTTTTCCTTACAAAGATGTTTAGGCATGTGGTGGCATTGCATTTGAAACCCAATGTATGGGTTTATAGCTCAGTGGGATGACCAGGCCACCATAACCCCATATGGCCAGAGAGCAGTAGGCCCGGGTTTGAGTCTGACCCGCGGCCCTTTGCTGTCTTCCCCTCTCTCTCCCTGCTTTCTTGTCTCTCTACACACTCTCTATCGAATAAAAGCTTACATGAAGGTTGATATTTTTACTTAAAAGTATTAGTTTATCTTATGTTACTGGTGTAATTATTAAAAAGAAAAAGAAACAGTAATCATTAAAAAACATCTTACACCATCTGTGGCTCACATTAAATATTTAAACTCCAGAAGGGGGAGGTTTTAGTCCTTCTATAAATCTTCGGATTGTTCCTGTTGTTACACTTCTTTTATTATCACAAAGTGCATCTCTCATATATATATATATATATATGAATGAAAGCATGTTCGCATTAAACAAAAATGCCATACCTAAGTGAGAATTGCAGACTATTATCTCACAATTTTAAGATAATAACCTGAAATTTTCATTTAGTTCTGCCCATTTGTTTTTTCTTTGGGAACATGTTTCCATACATACCAATGAAATTAAAAATGGCAATTAAAAATGTTAAAATTAGGAAAAACAAAACTGAAAATATGACCGCAGCATAAATTGTCTGAAGCTTTTGTTCATAAATGGAGACATTTATGAAATGTTAAAGCTGCCTGAATATATTTGGTCGCAATTATGGAAAACTGTGAAATAAATATTTTTCAGATCACATTTTGAGACATCAGCATCATGTTCCATGGGATATCAGTCACTGGAGGAGGAGGAGGTAAGACATTCAGCTAAATCAGTGTATAAAAATGAATTGTTGAATTAATATAAGAGTCATCTTTTCAACAGAAAACAGCAGTAATACTTCATGACACTGTTTTCCTTTCCACAGCTCCGGCAAATAAACCTGAGCTATATGAGGTAAATCCAACAACATAATTCTGATTAGTATACTAAAAAAAAGAGGACTTTATTTGTTCTTTTTTTTAAAATAACATTTATTGCCCATGTGTAAATCATCCGTAAATCTAAACTAAAGCTGGGAATGTTATCAAGAATATGTGATATCCTTGCTGTTAAGGATAACAATCATGAATGCTGTCGTTTCAGGAGGTGAAATTATACAAAAATGCAAGAGAACGAGAAAAGTAAGTGCTTGATATGTCACCAGTGACCATTATCACTTTATAAAATGCAGATTTACTGTGTTACACATGTTATAACGATCCTGTTTCTGTAGGTATGACAATATGGCGGAGTTGTTTGCTGTCGTCAAAACACTACAGGCCCTGGAGAAGGCTTACATTAAAGACTGCGTAACGCCTAACGAGTGAGTAACAGTTGAGATCATATTTAAAATATGGCACCTGTAACTTTAGCTGTGTGTTTTTTAATTAATGCGGAGTTTTTGTTGGTTTCAGGTACACCGCCTCCTGTTCCAGACTCTTGGTTCAGTATAAGGCTGCTTTCAAACAGGTGCAGGGCTCTGACGTGGGCTCCATCGATGACTTCTGCAGGAAGTACAGAGTGAGTGCTCGTCTGCAGTGCAGAGTGTCTGTCATATTTTTCAAGATTTTATTTTTGTAATTTCTTGTTGTTGTCATATGTTTTCCTAGCTCGACTGTCCACTTGCAATGGAACGGATTAAAGAGGATCGGCCAATCACCATCAAGGATGACAAGGGCAACCTGAACCGCTGCATCGCAGATATAGTTTCAGTATGTCCCCACGACTATATTAAATATGTTAAAGAGAGAAGTATTTAGGCTGCTGGAAAGAACATTTTTTAGGATTTATTGAGCTCAGTTTTAGCTGAGTGGCCAATGTGGTTTCACTCAGTTTGGCTCAACATTTGGTAATTCCATAAAAATGAGAGTGGATATCACAAGCTTAAGTTTTACCAACTGCAGGCTCAGCTCATAAAACAGACAAACTAATAAAGTCAGTGCGCTCGTTCCTAGAACTGTTTGTCCTGAAACATATTTCTCACTGCCGACTCTTAAAACTAGGAAAATATTTTGTCTCATCCTTCTCGAACATTTAGCTCTTCATCACTGTGATGGACAAGCTGAGACTGGAGATCAGGGCCATGGATGAGGTAAATTTATAAATGTAAATAATATGTTATTAGTAAACAATGACTGGAATTCCAAGATACTGATTGATTGTTTGTTTTTTTAATTTGTTCAGATCCAACCAGACCTTAGGGAGCTGATGGAGACTATGAACAGAATGAGTAACATGCCTCCAGACTCAGAGGCCAAGGACAAAGTCAGTCTCTGGTTAGTAACACTAGGCCGCAACGTTTGTGCTCTTTATGTCGTTGATCTCTATGTGCAGCACACCTTGAGGCAAAACATGACCAGTCAGGAAACCTGCAGCCACACCACACAGCACCTATCTAGTTCCAGAATACCTGATACAAGGCAGGGTGAATCTATACTGTCATGTTGTTTATGTCAAACTCTGACCCTACCATCTAAATGTTGGAGCAGAAATCAAGCACCATTTTTCCAATCTTCCATTGTCCAATTTTGATCCGCATGTGTGAATTTTAGCCTCAATTTCCTGCTCTTAGCTGACAGGAGTGACACCTGGTGTGGTCTTCTGCTGCTGTAGCTCATGTGTTTCCCTGCAAATGAAATTCCCACCAGTCGTGCCATGGTCACAGTCATTTAAATTTGTTCTCTGTGCTGTTGCAGTTCTCTTCAGTTCAGCAAATTGTTTTGACTGTGTACAGACCTAAATTCATGAAGTTGCTGCCATGTGATTTTCTGATTTGATTTTAATAGTTAACAACTAGTTGAACAGATATAATTAAAGTGGCAGGTCAGTAAGTGTGATCCAAAACTATCATTCATGGCTCCGACACACAAGTACTGCGTGGCTACTCTGTAGTTACTAGGATACTATAAGTTAAAAGGGAGCTGTGCAGTTCAGTAATGAAGGAAAAGAGAGGGGTTGAAGAAAAGTGTGAAATCGTAGGACTTCTTGCTAAATTGTGAAAATCTAACTTAATCCCCCTCCTCCTATTGGCTATTGGGGTAAATATTTACGGGTTTCCTATGTGTCCGTATTCATGCAAGGTAAAACTTTGTTTTGCATCTGGTGCGACCGTACCATTATCCATGCAACTAGCTGAGCAGTGGTTATAAAGTACCTGATCTTTGATGTGTTTATGATCATATAGTTCTCTTAACTGACATTTTTCCAACAGGCTGACCACCCTGAGCAGCATGTCGGCCTCGGATGAATTGGATGATAATCAAGTTCGCCAGATGCTCTTTGACCTGGAGTCAGCCTACAACGCCTTCAACCGCTTCCTCCACTCCTCTTAAAGCGCCTCTCTGTCACAGATAAATCTGGAATCCTGACTCTAAAGCCTGTTAATTTAAAAGAAGAAGAATGCTGCTTTCTGTGGATTTACGTCCCCTCCTCCTTCTGTTCTTCTAGCTGTACAATTGGTCTCTGTGTTCTTTAATCGGGATGTGTACAGGTCACTCTGCTGTCATCTCAGCCTCGTCAGCTCGGCTCGCTTTGTTCTGTGAACTGTTATCCCCCCCCCCCTTTTTCTATCCAGATTTGTGTGATAAATGCATTAACAGTGGCTGAACTTCATACTGTAACATCGAGAAGCCTATTTTATACCCAGGGTTTGCAGCAAACCAATAAACAAACATGATACAGGAAAGATCTGCATAACAGCAGATTTCTTTTCTTTTCACTTTTCATACCCTAATTGTATTTCTGACTTAAACATAATTTACTACATTTGTTTTCTACTAACAGGTTTTTGCTGTAGTATCATATATAATTGTAATTACATAATTATTTGGGCTTTAAGATGATTAGTTTGCAGTTCAAAGGAATCATATTGAAACTAAGGTGAAAGAAAATAGTTCTGATTTTGATTTTTCTGTCGCTGTCTCTTCTCATGTCTTATCCATTATTTTCTTTTAAGTAAAGGGTTCATCAAGTGGGCAAAAAAGGGAGCTCACTGCCTCCCTTTTGTTGTTTACCAAATATGTTTCAGCTCCCAAACACCATTAGGGAGAACATATTTATTGCAATGTATCGTTGTAAATAATAGGTTTGATTTTTAAATAAAAGCATGTAACATCTTTTTAGGAATACATTTTAAAAGGAAAGAAAAAATCTACGTCTATCTTCTTTTGTGCTGTGTCCGTGTCAGATATGTGATTTATTAATCATTTTTAAATCTTTTGAAAAACAGAATATCTTCCAAAGCATTTCAGTCTTGAAAACAAAAAGGAAGCGCAGACTGATTCCAAACAAGTCGAGGGGAGTTTGCTCATACGTGTTTTAATGAATAAAAGACTGCAGATGCGCCCTACTGAAAGCATTCACGATAGCTGGAGCTGCTCGTGGTCTTGTGAAGTTTGGCCTTGTTGGCGAGGACCACGACGGTGTCATGGGCAGGCTGGAAAGTCTGAAGTAGGCTCTGACACTTCTGCTCCACCCCTAGGATG